CATGGGGACAACCCCAATACTTGAAATGGCGCGCGCTTACGGTCTCCGTCCCCGATTATGGCTCCTGATAGAGTATCAAATTTTTGGTCTGGTCATAAATAGGGTAGGGAAAATCGCAGATTTTGGTCATAAATAGGGTAAGGGTTTTGGGAAGCGGGCTGCACACTCTCACCAAATTTTTTCTGCGCCAGTACCGGTCAGCGGTACTTCGTCAGTTTCGCTGCGTGCGCTTGTTGCGCCCTCCTCGGCCCAGTCTCGTTCCCAGAGTCTTCGTTCCCCTTGGTCAGCGGTCGGAAAACGAGAGTTCTGGGAGCAACCATTTTGAAATAATCGAATTCTGGTGATTCTGCCCATCCAGTTTCACTGCGCAGTCTGCATCTATGGCGCATGCCTGAAATAGTGGCTCCCAGAGTTCTCGTTTTCCGACCGCTGGTCAAGGGGAACGAAGACTCTGGGAACGAGGCTGTCCTCGGCCATGTTGTGTTTCAGTTCACTCGTGTGTTAAATTTACTCGTTAACTATTGGCGTGGTGGCAGCTTGTGGTCGAATTTGCGTCCAAAACATTCTTCATAAAGCCCGAATACAGTCCCACTTAAGCCCGAACCAAGTCAACACTTGTGAAAAGTCTAAACCTCAAAGATTTTCGTTGTTAGAACACGACCGATACCACAAACATGGCTAGCACCCACTGAGCACCAAAACAGTGGTGTTTATCGAAGTTAGAGACTGTAAATAGCTTCGAGAACTGACGCCAAAATTTGTTATGTACATTATCCCTTGACAATAATTTTGCCCCGTTCCTTACCGCGGGCATCACTTGGGGTAAAAAGACGAAGGCTGACCCGTTAAGAGGCTTTAAAAATGATGAAGACGTACCCGAGGACAGCCGCCTGACCGCCTAGCAGAAAGTGAACTTTCTTGGACTTATGCTTGGGCAAGTTGCCAATTACCGCTCGCCTCGCTTTCGCCTCTGTTCGCCTAAAATACGCTAGAGACAAGTTTGTGGAACTCCAAGTCAAACTAGAGGAATTAGGAGTCTTCAGGCGCCCAGAGTACGTTGGAAGTTCTGTCGAGTACTTAAACCCGTCCTTTCTGGTAAAGAAATCAATTGGTGGCTCTCGGCTGGTAACGGCCTTTGCTGATGTAGGGCGCTATAGTAAACCTCAACCTTCACTGATGCCCGATGTGGACTCTACTTTACGCCACATCGCAAAATGGAAACACTTAATCGTCACGGACTTAACAAGCGCCTTCTATCAAATACCTCTCGCTCAGGACTCTATGAAGTACTGTGGCGTCGCAACACCGTTCAGAGGTGTCAGGGTTTATGTACGCTGTGCGATGGGCATGCCTGGATCGGAAACGGCTCTCAAAGAGCTCATGTGCCGTGTTCGTGGTCAACTTCTACAAAACGGAGTAGTTGCCAAAATAGCAGACGACTTCCATTGTGGCGGAGACACCCCCTTCGAGCTGCTGGAGAACGGGCAACGGGTCCTCCAGACCCTCTACCAATGTGATTTACGCCTCTCCGCATCTAAGACCGTCATTAACCCTAAGTCGACAACAGTACTTGGATGGATCTGGAGCTCTGGAACTCTACAGGCTAGCCCTCATCGCATCGCTACCCTAGCTTCCTGTCCCGCGCCAGAGACAGTAGGTCGCCTACGTTCCTTCATCGGCGCCTACAAGGTCCTCGCTAGGGTAGTCCCTAAGTGTTCGACATTTCTGGCCCCACTAGACGACACAGTAGCCGGTCCAACGAAACCATTACATGGTCCGATGACCTTAGAACCGCGTTCCATGCAGCCCAACACGCTCTATCCACTAATCGCTCCATCACCCTCCCAAGACCTGATGATCTGCTTTGGATAGTGACCGCTGGAGCAGTTACGAAACCCGCCGTATCCGTGCCACGTTATACGTAAGCCGTAGAGACCAGCTTCTGCTCGCCGATTTCTCTAGCGCGAAGCTCATAGGTTCCTAGGTGTCTTGGCTACTATGTGAAGTAGACGTTCTCTCCATTGCCGTGGCCACCAAACATTTCAGTCCCTACATCATCCAGTCCAATTACAACGCGTGCATCCTAACAGATGGCAAACCATGTGTCCAAGCATTTGAGAAACTATGCCGTGGCGAATGTTCGACCAGCCCACGCGTTTCTACCTTTCTCTCAGTCGTAAGTTGTTTCCAAGCGTCGATTAGACACGTCTCTGGCTGCGCCATTTTACCGTCCGACTTCGCCAGCCGAAATGCGCCCCCTTGCCAAGATCCCACCTGCCAAGTGTGAGTGTGCGCCTTTATACATCTTACTGAAGAATCCGTAGTTCGACAGGCTTCAATTCAAGATATTCTCAACGGCGACGTGAGACTACCGTTCACCAGCCGTACGTCTTGGTTGGCTACACAGTCCGAGTGCAAAGACCTCCGCTGCACGCATGCTCACCTGGCCTAAGGGACAAGACCATCAAAGAAACTCACTAATGTAAAAGATGTAAAGAGATACTTAAATGTTGCGACAATCGCTAAGGATGGTTTATTAGTAGTCAAACGTGACGAGCCTTTTGCTCCTTCGCGAGAATGTATCGTTGTCCCTCGTCAAGTTCTAGACGGCCTGTTAACAGCCGTACACATTAGGTTAAGCCACCCTTCAAGTCATCAACTTAAGTTGGTCACTAAACGATACCTCTTTGCCTTAGACATGGATAAAGCAATAGACCGAGTAACTCAGAGTTGTACCTGTTGCTCTACTTTAAGCCACACTCTACGAGCTCGCATTGAGCAGTCTTCAGTCGAGCCGCCCGCTCCTGTCGGCGTCTCCTTTGCAGCCGACGTCCTCAAACGTTCCCGACAGCTTATTCTAGTCTTGCGAGAATGTGTAACATCTCACACCTCTACACTGGTACTTGAGGATGAACGCCATCATACGTTACGAGATGCCCTCATTCGCCTTTGCATTCAATTACGCCCTCTAGACGGCCCTCCCGCCATCATCCGAACAGAGCCCGCTCCTGGATTCAAGGCCCTCATTAACGATCAGCAGTTACAACGCCACAGAATTATTCTCGAGATAGGAATCCCCAAGAACCACAACAAGAACCCTGTGGCGGAAAAGGCTGTACAAGAGCTGGAGACAGAATTACTCCGCCTAGCGCCTCTTGGTGGTGCAGTGACTGAAGTTACCCTGGCAATATCTACGGCCAGCTTAAATTCTCGCATCCGTTCCCGCGGGTTGTCTTCTCGAGAAATGTGGTCTCAGCGTGACCAGTTCTCGGATCGCCAACTCCCCTTGTCTGATCAAGACCTGATAACCAAGCAGCATGACCAAAGGCTAGGCAATCATCCTCACAATATGAAATCCAAAGACCCTTTGGCTCACCCACGACCGTCTAGCAAACTTGAAGTCGGTGACCTCGTATACATTTACTCTGACCGAAACAAATCAAAGGCAAGGGACCGTTATCTGGTGACCAAAGTTGAAGGCGACTTCTGTAATATGAGGAAGTTGATCGGTTCCCATCTACGCAGCACTTCCTACCGCGTAAGAAACTCAGCGCTACCGAGTACCTGGAGAACTGTCAGAAAACCACTACCTGCGAATGCAAGACGACTCCTCTGCAGATGAAGAGGACCCGATCCAACCAGAACCCATTCCGCCCACTCCACCAGATATTCCGCAGGCGATCTCTTATCCAGCGGATCAAGATGTACCAGAGCCAGGGGAAAATGACTTCGTTCCGGGTCCAAGCGTAAGCGACCCTGAGGATTCCCGCTTTGCCCAAGCTGGGGAAATGCCGTTTGTTTCCACGGAAGTCGTTCACCAGTCCAGACAATGCGCCACCGTCGGCCCCCAGCACGCTACGATGACTATATTACTGACTTTTAAGTATACCTGATTTGATGAACAGAGCGTCACATGCACGGCTCCTAACAGCACGAGAACTTGACTACTGTTTTGTTAGTTAGCAACTTGTCTTCGTCAGGAGACAGTCATCTACCCATGAGAGGACAGACACTTAGTATGTTCATATTCTGTAGTTGGATATCTTTTCATATGTTCATGTTCGTTAGTTTAAATATAAACGACTGTTAGTCATTAGTCAGGCCTTAAATTCGCAGGGGATAGTATAGTTTCATGGCTTTTCATTGGTAGGAGAGAAGAGAAGTTACGCCAGTACCGGTCAGCGGTACTTCATTAGTTTCGCTGAGTGCGCTTGTTGCGCCCTCCTCGGCCATGTTGTGTTTCGGTTCACTCGTGTGTTAGATGTTCTCGTTAACTGCTGGCGCTGGGAGTGTTCACCCGGGTCCTTGGTGTCTCTACCGTTTTGGGCTTTCACTATCTTCCCCAATTACGAACTCCTATTCAGTTCAAATTACTAACGATTATGCGTACAATTATAATGGATTGCCTGGTTAACATGTTGGCCATGCAAGTGGAATTTACAGTCATCGCTTTCAGACAAACTTCATAAATGTATGAATTTGGTGTAAATCTGGGGCTGTTAACAAAGGAAGTCGTCCTGTATTTGATAAGATTTTGACAAATTAAACATCTAAGAGGTTTCAAAACTACCTTAATAATGAATCATTATGTGCTGATGCAATTTTCTTGGCTGATTCTAAGGTATCTTGTTGACGCGAGATGGTGGAAACAGTGGAAGAAGTTTGTTGGATATGACACTTGGGATCGTAATGGAGAACAGCTTAATGATCCTGGCCCCATAGATAATTCAAGTCTCCTTGCACGTAAGACATAACACCATTTACATAGCCTGCAGTGCAGGCGTATCAGTTTGGGCGCGCGAAAGTGCACATTTTGGTA